GGCCCAAGGACTATGATTTTGAGCTAAATTATAAGTCAAGCTTAGTAATTTTGGACATTATTTTCAGAAAGTTGGACTTTAATAATGCAGCAACTGTAATCAGTCATACAGTTAACCAAGACTCAAAGTTTAGCTCTTTTCAGAAGTTCAGAAAAAAAGCCTCATTAGCTGGGGGGAGAATTAGCCTCTGTATTCTAGCTATCAAATGTTTCTGCCACAAGATGCTATACATTCAACAAAAACCTTCACAGATACACAGGTATCTGGATCAAACAGTAGTTATCTCAAAAGAGTTTCTAATGGTATTAATAATTATGTGTTACTATTATTGCTATTAATAATAATAACACATTAGATAGCTTTTATGGTCACAAGGGCAGCTAGGTGGCTCAGTGAATAGAGTGCCGGACCTGGAGTCAGGAAGACTCATCTTCCTGAGTTCCAATCTGGCCTCAGACACTTACTAGCAGTGTGATCCTGGGCAAGTCATTTCACCCTGTTTGCCTCAGTTTCCTCATCTGTAAAATGAGCTGTGGAAGGAAATGGCAAACCAATTCTAGTATCTTTGCCAAGAAAACCCCAAATGGGGTCATGCAGAGTCAGATATGACTGAAAAGACTGAACAACAACATGGTTACAAAACATTTTCACAAAAATTATTATTTGATCCTCACAACAGTGCTGTAAGGTAGGTAGTGTGATAGGTATTATTATCCTCGTTTTAACAAAGGAGAAAATGAAAGCCTAGAGAAATTAATTTGTTCAAGGTCACCCATTTAGCAAATGGTAAAGGGTGAAAGTCTTATTAGCATGAAAGTCACCTACAAGAAAACTTACCACCTGTGAACCAGCAACATCTTGAGTTCTTTCTAGATATACCATCAAAGGTTTATATATCAGGATTGTATTTTACCTCCATTTGTGGCCATTCTAGTGACCCTAAGACACTGTAGACTAGTCTGTGAGGGACATAACCCTGTGGCATTCCTCCTCCCAATCTCTAGTACCTGCTCACAGTTCATTCCAAGGTTGGTGATGGTTCTAGATGTGATTACCAATCAAGTGAAACTCCATCAGGTCTGGACACTTGCAGGGAGCTTTTGGGAAAGGGGGATGAAGCCCCACTGAGTAGGAGCTGTCCATAGTCAGCAGTTACATTGGTCCACTGAAGGTGGCTGAAGTCTTCTAGAGACCGTAGGTGCAGGCAGGCTGTCAGAGTTTGAGAGCTGAAACCAGGTAAGCTGCTGCAGAAAAGCCGCCTTCCAGCATGTGATGCTGGGGTGGTCTAAGGAGGCTCAGGCTGGAGCAGGGTGCAGTTGCTCCTCTTTTCCCAAATGAGTCATTGTCCCTGACAATATTAGTTCTCTTATGCTAGCTGGAAGTTATGACAGTCTTAATAGTTATACTCTTTTACTCACAGTTAGTTACTTCTGAGCCCAGGGGAGACATTTAGTAAGTGAAGGTTAGCTGAGATATGCCCCTATTTGGATAATTCTCATAAGATTTGAGGCTGGGGAGAGGACTGTCAGACCCATCAGGGCCCTCACAGGCTGAGGCAGCCTTGATCTTGGGTCTTCTGATTCTAAACCAAGTACTCTTTTCTACTATGCCTTTTGATTCTCTCCTTTGTAGTAAAACAATAAATGAGATTTTCATAGATGTGATAAATCATATTGTTGTATTTATACTATAATATATGATGGTAGCAAATGACTTGCTATTTGTTCTTTAAAGAAGCTACAATGAAAGATATGTTTGTTTTTCCATCATCTGATTGATGATTGAAGTCAAGGATGATGAAGGTGACCTTCACGTAATGTCATACATAGGAAGATGATCTTATCCTGATCACTTCACAGGATTTATTGTTCTCAGAGAACACACACGGGCAAGTGAAGTCACGAAGCTTTTCCCCCCTTTCCTGTGGGAAGTGGAGCTAATAAAAATGAGAAACATTTCAAGTAGTTAAGAAAGAAGAGCTGCAAAGAATTAGACATTTTTCAGTGCTCTCCTAACAGAAAGTCTAGTTCTCTTTCCCCCAACAAACCACCAATCTCCTCTCTTTGTGCATCTTTTCACACTCAGCTGGGATCTGTGAAATGACCATTGTTCCCAACACCAGCTCTGATGACAAGATTTTTAATTTGGTGATGTGTATGAGTCTCTTTAATCAGGTAGAGAGCTCAATAGATAGGGAGACACAGATCTATCTAAAATATGCTTCTTTGTTTGGCCTCTCCATTCAGATCTTCAGTACATGGGGGTGGGAGGTAAAGTTTCCACAGTCGGGCTGATTTGAGATGAATAGGTTTGCCGATGTCAAAGCCAGAGCTATAATACTCACTGGCATCTGTGGTACAGGAGGCCAATTCTTCTGAATAGAGCCATTGATGATTACATTTTGGGGAAACTTAATCATAGAGTAATTAGGCTTTAATTCTTACAAAAACTTACAATTAATTGGATCTTTTATACAACTTTTTTGTTTGATTTAAAGTACCATGAAGGTTAGTTATAGAAACTTCATTTAAATATGGATTTAATTAGAATTGTTTTATGATTTTAATGAGTCTTAAAAGTCTTTTGATGAGCAGACTATGTAATTATGGTATTTTAAATGATTGGGTAAATGCATACTTTGATAATTTACCTTTCCTGAAACTGTATTTTTATGGGAGTTATTTTTAGCAGAAGTGTTTAATTTTGTGTTCAGCTTTTGTGGGGTCTGGTGCTTAGCCTCGCTTCACTAAATGTTTTATTTCTAAAATTCACTTTGACCTTCATAAGACAAATCGCCCACAAATTTTTGGATACTTTAATGTTTACAAAGTACTTTGCATGTCTTCCCTCATTTCTTCTTTACAACAGTCCTATGAAGTAGGGAGGGCAGATAAAAGGACCCCCATTTTACAGGTAGAAAAACAAAGGTTCAGAGAAGTTAATTTACTCAAGGATTGAGCAGGTATTCAAACTCAGATTTTCTGGTTCCAGCTGAATGTGAAAAGATGCACAAAGAGAGGAGATCAGTGGATTGTTGTGAGAAGAGAACTAGACTTCTGTAGGGAGAGCACTGAAAAATTTCTAACTTTTTGCAACTTTTCTTTCTTAACTACTTGAAATGTTTCTCATTTTTATTAATTCAACTTCCCACGGGAAAGCTTTGTGACTTCCCTTGCCCTTGTGTGTGTTCCCTGAGAACAATAAATACTGTGAAGCAATCAGGGTAGGATCATCTCCTCTGACATTACGTAAGTTGAAGGTCACCTTCATAATGACCTTAGCTTCATTCATCAGTGTTGTTTGTTCATCAATATTCTTTCCCTAGGTAATAACCTAATATTAGAGCTAAATGTATTCACAGAAATATTGTTGTTTTTATTATATAGAAGACTAAATCATTGGTAAATCAGTTAGGCAATACTAAATACTCCCAAATTGCCTAGGTATAGCCAAGCTACCCATATACTCTCATCTGGATTTTGAGTTGGAAGGGACCTTAAAGATCCTTTAAATCACTGCTCTCAAATTGTGATCCAGAGACCCTCAGGGATCTGAGGTCAAGACTATTTTTGTAATAATACCAGAATGTTTTCATTTCTAGTGTGGTAAATATCATACGGATAGCCCACACAAACAAAAGCTCTTTTGGGGAGGAGTTCCTCAATAATTTTTATAAGTATAAAAGGATCCTGAGACCAAAAAGTTTGAAAATTGCTGACTTAATTCAAGCTCTGCTTTAGTAGATGAGGACAACAAGGATCTGAGAGTTCCAGTGAGGTGCTAACCTTGTAATTGTGTGCATGTGTGCCAGAGATTAGGGTGGCGGCTGAGGGGTGGAGAAGAAGAAAGGAACTTTGAGTAAATTATCTGAAAAATTTCTGAAAAGGTTGGAATTAGGTATTAAGTTATCAATGTTCTTATTTTGCTGCCCAAAATGAAAAAGAACCCTTAAAACAAGTATGAGAAAGTAGGGCAATTAAAAAGAAAAAGACTGCTCCAACAAAGATACTTTTCCTCCTTGGTTCCTGTTCCAACCTGAGCTGTTAGGTAAGTGGCATGTGATGATTTCTACTGATTAATCGAGAGTGGCACACATTAAGTAACCAACATCAGGGGCATATGCTTTTATTTTTCATTTCCAGACTACCTGGCTAAAAATAATTTTTTTCCGAAGATTTTCTCATAGTTGATGATTACGGCATTCTAACCCTTCACTTTCCAATCTAGGTCAAAATATGAACATATAGAGGTTTCAGGAAATTGCTGTTTGTAATTTGGATAGACTCTTATCTGAGCTAGTTCCTTTCATCTTAGAGACTTGTACCTTCAATTTTTCCTCAACCACAGAGAGGCTCACATATAATATCCAGACAAAACGACTTGCAAATACAAACCTGCAATTTCCTTAACTGCTTGAATCTTGCCTGTAGTTTGAGTGGCCAGGAGAGGACTTGATAAAACATCGCATCTTTAAGAACTGATTTGGAGGCCCTGGGTTTCTGAACCAAATAGGTTATCATATAGGATCAATTCTATGGAGTTTTAATTAGGACATAATAAATTATCTGAAAAATATTGTGATAGTGGAGATAATTGTAGTTCTTGGCATACAGAGTAAATGTCCTAGTATCAATTATATGTAATGATTTGGTATTCTGAGTTTAGCAAATACTCTAGAGCTACTCTCCCAACCCCCATTCACACTGGCAGACTGTGGCTATTTCTTCCCATCATTCTAAGGGGCCATGCCTAACTGGGGATGGTTTTCTAGTAATATAGTTGATAAGCCATTGGAGTGCTTCCTCCAGTGATTACTGGTCAAGTCGGACTTAATTAGCTATTACTAAGGTGGTGAAGTATACCACTTAGAGGTGTAGGCACAGGAGGTACAGATATTTCCCTCAGAAATCAGTGACACACTCTTCCTCAAGTGCGTACAGAATCCAGGGGAAAGTGAGCTCACGCTAAGAGAATACATGTTGCAAAAAGGGGTAACTCACAGCTGTGGAGGTCCTTTTATTGGAATCCTCAAGACCATCCCCTCACGTATGATGTAGCTTTCTGCTGGGCTTTCTTCAGTATGTCTAGTTCACCCTTAGCTCTCAGGGCACACACTGCTGCCAGTCACTGCTGTTCCTGGGATGCTGCCAGGACCTCCAAGAGCAGTCCAAAGCTTCTGACCTCTGAAATTCCAAAGATTGTCCTTTGATCAAGGAGGGGAGGAGACAGAGGTTTTACTCATCCCCCATTTAGAGGGCTGATTGGAATCACTTTCTCTTTAAAGGATGCTTTCACCTTAAAGCTTAGAGCTGTTAGGTACTTGAATGCCAAGTTATGAACTGACTTGCTATTTTATCAAAGCTTCATAGAGCATTACCAAATCTCCTGAGCCAATTCCAATACACCTCCTGTGTAGCGTTACTTCACTTTATCCACTGGTTTTCACTCCTTACAAACTGGTCAAGGATTTTTTAGCCATGGAGGAGTGATTGTTTTAATAGAGGTATTCTCATCTGATTACAGTAGTTACTTTCAATGGGGCTGGGCTATTGCTTGATTGACTCAAATCAAAGCCTTCCTAGTCCTTATTAATACCCTCATCAAAGGTTGTCTTTGATGCATGTGCAGATTAAAAGTTTACATAGATTAGAAAGTAGGGATAGGATCAGGAATTGTTGAAGCTTTTTCTTGTCTCTTTTTTGTTATTAATAAGGTCCAAGATTTTTTTTCCCATATCTTTGGATTTTTCCTTATTTTAAATACCTTAACAATCAATCATTCTCAAAATCATGTCATCTGTAGCCTGGAACTACTATACTCTCTTGGCCTAGATCACCTGCTATCCCATTTTTCTTCTTTTTATATCCATATCCAACTCCTCTATTAGCTCATCTGGGACTGATATTAGAAGCCAGATGTGGTAGCTCTACTTTCCTTGATAAGGTCAAGAGTTCATTATTAAAATCTTTATTGATCTTTGCTGTCTTTCATCTGTTTTTGTAGTCCTTCCAGTTTAATTCCTAAAAGCCTTTGGGATGGCTATGCTTAGCTAGATCTCTTGCCAAGCTCTCCTTAAACCTTATGAGACAATACTGTTAATAATCTTCCATCATCCTTCTCTCTAAGACTTAACAAATAAGTTTATATTTGAAATTAGTGTTGCCCTTGGATGCCGTATCATTCCACTTGGCAACTCGGTCAAATGTTTGCTGACTAAGGTGGTTTTTAGGCTTTTTTGATCCCCTCATTGTGGCAATTGATTTTTGTCAGCTAAACCACTTTTTAAAATTGGTATAAATGATATGGATATCCTTTCCTTCATCCATTTCCCATTTTAGTGCCAATAATTTGTTTGAATAGGTTAAGCTGAAGTTGTTTTAATTGTATATTGTATCTTTTTCTCATTTTTTAAATTTCTTCTTTTAGCTTTGTATTAATTTTGATCTTAACTTAAACTAATTGGTAGCCTGACTGTGTACAGATTGCTGAGTGAGGAATAATGATAATAGCATTAACAGGTGAATTCCTAGTTTTGCTGTGTAACTTTGTGAAACTTGTCTTCTCTTTCTTTAACATAGCTCTATCATATCTCAAATGAAAATAATAAAATATGTCTAGCAATTTGTAAGGACATACTTATGTAAATGTTAATTTTTAATGACTTAGATACAAGACATAGTGTACAGAGATCTTCTAGCTGTCAAAGTTGAGCATGTGTGTAAATTCCTCATTCCTATTTGGCTGGCATGGCTTCTTGACCTAGTGTCCCTTGTCTTTTGATCACCATATTTTCTGTACTAAATGAATTGTTTTCAGTTTCAAGAGTGATATAATGCAGCACATTAAGGGAGTTCCTAAATTGAACAGAAGCAGCCCTGCAAAGGGATAATTATGACCTTAGATTGTTGACAGAATAGTTATCAAGTCAAAATGGAGATCATCTGTATTTTACCTTTTCTGTTTTTTTATAGATAAGCATTTGTAAAATGTTTCTCTTCTGATACATTCCTGTTCAATAATTTTAAAATATATATTGGGAAAATTATTATCAAATACACTAATAGTGACTCAAGTTTTTGGATACAGAAACCAGATTAAAGGTAGACACCATAGCTATCTAGAAACATTTGAAAGTTTCTCACATAAAAGAGAGTTCTGTGTTTTTCTCTAGAAGACGGATCTTGAATGCTAAATAAGAAAGAACTTTCTAACTACTAGAACTATAAAATCAGAAAATGGACTACCTCTTAAGGAAGTCAACTCCCTACCACTTAAGGTTTTCCAGCAGAGGCTAGACCCCCATCTACCAGAGACAATGTAGAGGAGATTCCTGCACTCTGTATCAGCTAGATTACCTCTGCGGGTCATTAGAGCTCTTAAAATTCTGTAGTCTGTGTGATCAGGGAATGGGGATGTTCTGATTAATTGAATTTTCCGATTAACTTGGATTTAACCAGAAAGTCTTAATTTAATTTAATTTAATGAGAAATTATTTCAACTTTAATTGTTACATCTTTCTAAAATATATTATTAGCCCATTTTTCTTTCTGTTTTAGTAACTGCATGTGATTGAATCTACCTTTGAGAATGCAAGGTATCGCAATGCCAGGAAAACAGCACAATGTAGTCAGAGGGTCTGGATCTAAATAACAGCCATAGCAACTGATCTTCATACAGCTCTTTCAAGTTAACAAATACACTTTACAAATAAAATCTAATTTGGCCCCCTAACAATCCAGTAAGTTTAAGACCATGTCTTAGAGTTGGAGGACACTCTGTATATATCTCTAGTACCTACTCCACAGGGTTGTCTTAGACATTGGAGTACCCTACATTTTACCCGCAGTTTACAGATGAGGGAACCAAGACTCAGAGAAGTTAACTGACTTACATGATTAAGGGTAAGTAAGCAAGTATCAGAGGCAGGATTTCAACCAAGGTCTTCCTCATTCCAAGTCCAATATTTTTGGTGTAGAGGATATAATACTTGATTTAGGAAGATCCACCTTTGTCATTTATTCAGTGTGAGATCATGTGCCCATGGAAGGGTCAGTGCTAAGATACTTCAGCTATCAGCAGGAGTATAGTAGTAAATATTTAACAACTGACTCTCCAGGAAAAAAATGTACTCAGTACACTTTTAAATTTAACCTGCATTAACATTTTCGCCTTCACTTTCTTAAACAATAAATCAAGTCTTCTTTTGTGATGTTTGCCAGTTCCTAAGGTACAAATGCTGAAATTTTAACAATTGGCTCTCTTGCACCGGTATGGATTGGCTCCAGCACACCACTGTCTCTCAGTCTCAGTTTCCTCACCTGTAAAATGAAGGAATAATAATGCCTGAAGAAGTTATTTTACAGGGTTCACAGGAAGCTTAAGCAAGATAATGGGAAAATTTAAAGTGCTCTTTAAATATTGGTTATTATTATTATTATTATTATTATTCATGATGTATAACTCTGCTACCTGAATGAAGGCAAGTTATTTCTTCTTCCTTAGCCTCTATTTCCCCATCTGTAGAAGAAGGAGACTCAGTGATCTCTAAGCTTCTTTTCTATGGCTAACATTCTGTGATCCTTAGGATCATCATTATGAATGTTTATATTATTGTCTTGTACTGTAAATCTGTAAGGTGTAAATGTTTGAGCTGTATTCCTGGAACTTGCTTTGTAGAATAAATCGTCTTTTTTGTTTGTTTTCTAATCAGAATCTTTGCTTTTCTCCCTAGGCTTGGTCCCAGTCCCATTTTCCCCGTTTCTGTCAGTAGTGCTACCATTCTTTTCAGTCTCCCAAGATAGAAACCTTAAAGATATCTTAACCTCTTCCCTTTTCTTCCCCCCCTTACCCAGTCTAGCGATATGTTTTGTGTATCTCAAGGAACTAAAGGGAACAACTGAAGCTTCTTGATCAAATAAGTGACATGATTTCAGCTGTATGGAGGATGGATTGGAAGAGGCTGAGAGTGGAAGCAGGGAGACTATTGGGAGGCTTTGGAGGTAGTCCATGCCAGAGGTGATTAGAGACCATAATATAGTGGTGGCTTTTTGAGTGAATGGAAGGGGCAGTTGCAAGGGACTCTTAAAGGTACAACTGAGCAGGATACTAACTGATTAGGTATGGGAAGTGTAGAAGAGGGGATTATCAGAGTGACTCTAGGGCTATAAACCTAGGTGACTGGAAGAATGTGGTGCCCTCAATGAAAACAGCAAAGTTTAGAAGGTAAATAGGTTTAATGGAAAGAAAATTAAGTTCCATTTTGAACATGCTGAGTTTGAAGTGTCAATGACATATCCTAATAAAAATGCCCAACAGACAAGAAAACTGTGGGCTAGATATATGTGGGAATAGTTATATTTGGATAAACCTGGGGATTATCTGTGGTATCACACAGATTATCAATGGTAGCTCATTGAAGTAAATTATGTCAACAAGAGGAGAAGAGGAAAGAGGATAAAAAGGAAGAGGGGAGAGGCAAAATAAGACCCAGGATATAGACTTGTATAACACCCATGTTGGTGGGATGGACATGAACAGAGATTCAGCAAAGAAGACTGAGGAGCAGTCATAAAGGTAGTAGGAATACAGGAGAGCAATGTCATGAGCCAAAGGAGGAGAAAGTGTCTAACAGGAAATCAATAGTGCCAGAAGTTGCAGAAAGGGGGGAACTTAGAAAAATTCACTGGATTTAGCACTGAGAGATAACTGGTAACTCTGAAGACAAATTAAGTAGAGATCAGAAGCCAGACTGCAAGAAATTTAGAAACAAATGAGTAATGAGAAAATGGGGGCAATGAATATAGATCAGAGGTGTAAAACTCAAGGACCTCATGAAACAGAACCAGATTAAAATGCAATTTTGAAATGTTTAATAAAATAAATAAAAATAAAATGCAACATAGATCATGTTAATTTTGTGGTTTTCTAAGGATCCATTTCTATTTGAGTTTGATACTACTGGGGTAGATGACCCATTCCAAGAGCTTGTCAATGGAAAGGAGAACTACAGCTTAAAAAGGATTAAAGGGTCAAGTAAATATTTGGTGGTTGTTGTTGTTGTTTTTAAAGGATAGGGAGACCTGGAATTGTTTGTAAGAAGCTGGGAACAATAAGGCAGCTAAGCAGCGCAGTGGATAGAGCATAGGCCCTAAAGTGAGGAGGACTTGAGTTCAGATCCAACCTCAGACCAAACACTT